CAAACATAAAATAACAACATAATTTAACGARAAAATTTGYAATTCAAAAAARTTAAAGATGAATTTATMTTACARATAKRGTAAATTAWTCYAAARTTTTGTTTCAATAAAATTTACGCTAATTGTTGAATTTTCTGTTCAGAAAAAACATTCTTATAGTTTTCTTTAAATTATACTAATACAAACAATTACGAATATATTGAATCGAACCATACTAAAAAAATAAACATAAAAATACATGAACAAGAAATTTTTTTTAAAAGTAATAAAACTATCTAAATTATCAAAAATTTCTAAAATTACAATAATTGTTTTAATTTTTTCCAACAAAAATATCTATAAATTATCCAAAATTATTTGTAATTACATAAAATATCAAAATATGGTAAAATCTTTACTTGTTTGATAATAATTTTAAATATCCGAAATCATATATATTACATTCATATTATCCAATTCATTTTAAAAATATATATATTCGATGTATTTTCTAACTCAAATATCCACTTTTATCCAATATATTATCCAAAATAAACATATTTAAACATCATTTGGTATTGGAAAAATTTATTGAATCTAGCAGAATTCAATTGAATCTTGCAATATTTTTTTTTTGCAGAATTGCTGAATCTAATTGAATTAGGCATAATTTTTTTACACTGCAAATGGTAACTGCAGAATTGGTGAATCTACCTGAATTTGGCAGAACTTTCTTTTAGTCACCATTTACACTCTTAATCAACTGATAGAGGGAACGGAGGGAGTGTTGCTGAATGGTGCAACCAAAAGAAGAGAAACAAAATAATTTTACGACTCATGATAATAACGAGATTGAAAATCACACAAGATGGGATTTGATAAACATGAGAGTAGAACATTCTCCAACAGGGAAGTAATCATCACTCCTACGTCCACCACTCCCTCTCTTGTTGGTATAACCCGGATAATGACTCAGCTCAAACTTAGTCTCCTTAACCAGCTTCAAACCTTCTGCTTTAGCCAGTTTCTTTATCTTCCAATCACTAAACGGATACGTTGTCTTGTGTGTGATATGAATCTCACCGTTCTCTTTCAACATCTCCTTAGCGTTCTCAAGAAACCCCTGCACTAACACTCGGTGACTCCTGATTCCAAACGCACCGTTTCATCATTACGTGGATCCAAATCAACTCTATCTAAGCTATATTGTAGAAGAGAAATGAAAAAGTAAAACATTTATTTACTCGATGGCGTAAGAGGAAAATTCACGGCCGAAGAAACGAGACCCTGCGTGAGGGAAATTGAAGATAATGCGGTCATAGCGTCGCAGGCTCAGACTATTATCAAAGCTCATCGTGTGCACATCAACCTCGTGCTGAACGTCACACCCGAATCTCTTAAGTTTGCTTACATTATCCATCGCATCCATAAATTTTTTGCACAACTCATCTACATGTAAGATTTTATTGATTCAAATCGTATCTTATAATACTTGTGACATGAAATATATATAACGGGTTCAATAAGTACCTTCGGAATCCAGAGAAGTCGCTGTGATGTTTGTGGCCGAGCCAAAAGCCGAAGCTAGAGATAGTGAGAAAGAGAAGTCTCCTTCTCCAACAAGAAGGATTTGGTGTTGGCTACTATAGTGTCTTATCTTTTTTACTGGAACCTCCATCACATCTGATCTGAAGAGTAAAATTACATAAACCATATACATATATACACTCATAGAGACACTACACAAAGGTTGGTTCGATGTCATTTAATTTTGGGTTTTAAATTTGGCTTTTAGACTCCTGTGCGGGTTTATAATTTGTATTTTCGAAGTTACTTAACCTTTCGAAAACCCTTTTCTTGTATTTATGATTTTTGAAAGTTTTATCAATTACCTTGAATTTGGAATTTATATATTAAAACGAGTTTACTTACAGCAATAACAAAAATATAATTGGTTATTCTATCGTTAAATCCTTTTTTTGTCACCAATTTATCGTCAATTTACAATGTCATAGTTTCAAAATATTAATGATTGAATATGAATTTTTTCCATTGTAATGAAAAAATGTACTCTAACTAACGTTTGAGTTTATGATGTTTATCCGTGACGGTGATCGAAGCCTAAATATCCTTACATCATTAAACATACTAGAATTGACTCGCGCGATGCACGATTTTTTGTTTTACAATTTTATTAAATTTAACGACAATTTGATTTAGTTATTTACTTTAAAGTTTTTGTTATTTTCTTAAAT